CCCCCGCGCGGGGTCCCGGCGAGGCCTGCTCCTGGTCGCACGCGCCCCGCTCTTGGCCTGTCGCCCTCGCCGCCCCGCCTCCTCATGTCACCTCCGCCCCACCCTCGGGTACACTAGGCCCGGCTGCGGGGACCGGCGCTTCCGCGGGTGGAGCTGACCGGCGAGGAAAACTGAGGCCTGGGATCTGACTGGAAGCGGCCTGCACCGCGCGAGCGGAACGGGGCCCTTGTCCGCTCCTGCCGTCCCGACTCAGCACGGGTGTCCTTCGGCCAACTCGCTCGTGCGTGCTCTGCCTGCCTCTCAGACCGCCGGGCAGTTAGCCCACACCGCTTGCCCCACCTCGGCCCCGACTTGGGTGCCCTAGAGAAGCCCCTTCCGGGGCTGGTTTCGGTTTTTAGACTCTCGTGCCGCGTGCTGTCATCCACCTTCCTGCAGCCACATGGAGGTGTTTGCTGTAAGGGTAAACATGAAGCCTCGCTGCATACCAAACATTTTCACTTGAGTAAGGAGGAACAAAGTCCCTGGAATCTAACACGGCTCCATGTGGTTTTTACACACACCTATGCATATAATGGGTTCCGAGGCGAGCTCCCATGGTAACCCTGGGCCAGCTCCAAGTCTCCCAATTCCATAAAAGCGCTTAATGTGCTATCATCAGGACTGCTGTGTGTGGGACTCCTCCCCTCCACATTCATTCTGGCATCCCCGCCCCTTCCCCCCCGGGAGACTAATTTAAACATTTCCGAAGCTTTATGAGTTCGAGGGAGAAAGATTTCTCACATCAGGGAAAAAAGGAGGTTCTGACTCAGCAACAGACTTGTCGAGGCTTGCAAAATGGAAGGGGACCGAGCTTTCTTTCCATGGTAGGGCTCTTGTTGGAAGCAATAGAAGAGTAACTAATCTTTTGTAAAGAAAAAACTTTACATAGAGAAAAAAATTACATGAGGGTCTAGATAAAGAATAGCAAAGTGATCCATACCACGTAATAAAATATGGATTTTTTTTTTTTTTGGTCCCTGTTTTGCAATTTTCACTTTTTCTGGGTAGTTAGAGAAGTGAAACTGAATGAATCCTAGAATATAGAGAAAAAGCAGTAGGAGGTGGATTCAGACTTGATTTTGATTTACAACTGGACTAAGATTAGTGTTATAAATTAGCACACTTACTGATGTAGGCAGAGTGTACATTTTTATGAGTCCTCATTCTCTTAGTTAAATTTCTTTTCCACTTTTGTTACTTCATTGCTCCAAATTTATATGAATTAGAATAAATACAATAGACAGAGAACAACATTGCAAAGGGAAAATACCTTTTCTGTATAACGTGTAGGTCTGATATCCTGTCTAATGAACTAAGTTTGATATTGCCTTTAAGGAAAAAGTACTAAAAAAAAAAAGATTCAGAAATTGGTCAGGAGCATAGAAAATTATTTCGAGTTAATGTCAAAAGCATTTTTAACAGGCAAAATATAGAACTAGAGAAGTACTTTTATTCTAAATTACAATGTCTAGAAAATAACCTGAGCTCATTAGAATTAAAAATATAAATGACCATTTCATAGCACCTATTGACATATTCTGAACTATTATTCATTAATGTATTTTACAGGGAAGAACTATTTCAGCAATCAAGGCATGTAAAGTATTAAAAATGAACATTTTTTTTTTTAAGTAAAGTTGTATTTGATTGGAATCAGCTGCAGACCCAGCAACAAATCTTGAAAGAGGAAGGAAATACAGGCATAAAACATAGCTCAACCACCCATTAAAATTGCAGTTAGTGCAATGTAAGGATGAGAAAGCATACATTTAAAAGCCAAACGGCACCATTCTGGGCTAAAGTTTGATCAAAAACAAGATTTCTTGAGGTTCTGATACTGGTTTGGTTTTAGAGGATTTAGAGCTCTTCAAAATGGAACAAAACTATTAAGTTTGGTGTACATAATAAGGTCAAACTTCATACCAAGTACAGCAACTGCCAGATCCTCCACTCACTGCTTTAACACCTCAAAGAGTGTTAATGAAGGCCCTATTTTTTGTAAGAGGAAAATTACACATGAAGTCTAAAACTTTTAAGCTGGTGAGCATCCATCCCATCATTGAAAATATTCAAACAAAAAGATTCCCTATAGTGGGAGCGGTGGTAGGGATGGAGTAAAGGTGGGTGGGTGGGCAGGGAGGGGTTGCGGTCCTCTAACAGGTCCAATGTCAAGACCTTATGAGTCTATATTATAAACTTTCTTATATGAAAATAACTATATGACCATGAACTTGGTCTCTGACTTTCTATGACTGTCCCCTGTTCATTTCTTCCCACTGACTTGGGCCAGTGGTTTTAAAAATATTTTAAAAATTTCTTTTTAATTTTTTTTTTATGGTGACATTGGTTAACGAAATCCAGTAAGTTTCAGGTGTACAATTTAACAGTAAGGCATATGTATGTTGCATTATACGTTCATCTCCCATAGTTAGATTTCTTTCTGTCACCACATATTTGACCCTTGTTACTCAATCTATCTCCCCACTACCCATTGGTAACCGCTAGTCTATTGTCCATGTCCACGAGTCTTGTTATTCAATCTCTCTCCGCACTACCCATTGATAACCGCTAGTCTATTGTCCATGTCCACGAGTCTCTGTTTGTCCTTTTAAAAATATTTTTGCTACAACCCAGGGAGACACACACACACACACATATCCATGCGTGCACACACACACAACTGAAATAAAGCTTTTATTAAGCAATTTTTACTCTTAATACATGCAACAAACTCTATTTTTAAATTCTATTTAACTTGTTAAATCTCTAAATCGATCTCAAATCACTAAGTTGATTTTGAGACCTATGGTTAGGTCATGAGCTGAAATTTAAAAACACTGTCCTAGAAGAGTATTTCACTTCCTCTTTGTCCTGGAGCCTCCTCTTACCTTTTCTTTTATTTTCATTCTCAGCTGCTGACCTAGCTTCCTATTAAACTGAGTAAATAGTAGTTATAGAAGAGCTGCCACAGGTCCGCTCTGCCGCATTTTCCAGTCACTCCATCCCTGTAGTGACTGGATACATAAAGGACCTGTCCACACCCCATGCTCCCATCCAAAGTCTAAGGCCTGCTCCTCCTCTGGTGAACCAGATCCTACCCCCACCTGCTTAGGAGGTGGCTTCATAGACATCCCAATGTTTCATGACATCCCAATTTTCACATGTTCAAAATTGAACTTCCCCACCTCATTAATCCCCATCTCGGGTAAATGGCACTCCATTGTTCTCGTTGCTCAGGCTGAAAACCTCGGAATCATCCTATTTTTCTTACAGTACTTCCCAGCCATCATTACATGCTGCTTGACGTACCTTTAAATTATATCCAGAATCCAGCCACTCCTCACCACTCCCACCACAAGCAACCTGGACCAGGCCATCCAGAATGCGCTCACTGATGAAAATATTTAGAGTCTTCCCCAGGTGGTGTCACTCTTTGTAGCACTTGGGAGATTTGTTATCCAGTACTCCCACCTAAGAGAGGAGCCTTCAACCTCTCCAGTAATTCCTTCTATGATGCTCATTGGGCACTTAACATAGACGGACTTAACTGTTCCATTGCTTATAGCCTTTTATCTTTAGGCCTAGTCATCTTGACTAGATTATAAATATTTTAAGGCAGTGGCTATTTCTTATATATTCTTTTATTTTCATAGTTCTTAATTCATGCATGTATCTAGAAACTATTGAGTGCCTACTACGTGCCAGACACTGTGCTAGGTATTGGAGATATGGCCATGAACAAAACAGGAGACACAAACATTATTCTGGCATAATCAGGCTGGAAATAAATGTTTGCTGTTGATACTAGTTATGATAATTCCCAGCCTTAATTGTCTAGACGGAGTCATAAATAGTGAAGTTCTAGGCTGAAACTGACCTACTAAATTGGAGTCCTGCGTGCTGCAACATAGCCTTGCTGGGCTGGTCATGGGTGGAGACCCAAGATGACAGTGGAACATTGAGGTAAGGCAAATTCAGCAGGGAGGCAGAACATATTACACACTGAAACACATCTTAATCCTAGCTTGAAGTGGGATTTCCATTTATCATCTCCTTTACTTGTCACAATGTACTTTGTGAGTAGAGAAAACAAACAATATCCCTATTTTATAGTTGGAAAACCAAAGCTCCAAAACAAAATAATTTACCTCAGGTAGTTTGTATAGCCCGGGCTTACTTCCCTGATCTCCTCATTTCTCAGCCTCTGGCTCCATTACTTGTCCCTCAGGCTATCAGCAGAGATGTACAACATATCTGAGTAGAACAGAGCCACAGCGACAGGCCTCAAAAACAATGGTTGCTGCTTCTGCCAAAGGATAAGGGATAGAAAGGGTAACCCTTGAAGACCTCTCAGAAACACCTAACTAAATGATAACAATTGGCAGTAGTGACCTCAGTGTGAAAGCATCTTATTTTCAGAATGCATATCCCACAAAAATTCAGAAATACTCCTCAAATGTGCTTACTCGTTTTTCTCCTATGAAAAGAATGAGGCCTGGCTGTCATCTGCTATGCAGCTTAAGGTAAAGAGTAAACTAGAAAGCCATCTGAAACACAATGGCAGTCCTGGGGTGGTGGGGATAACAACAACAAAGACAAAACAAAGCAAAAAATTACCCAAAGTATGCAAACAGAGGATGGGAATGGTAATAAAATCCACAATAGTAATAGAGGGATGAATCCAAATGGAAAAATGGAAAAGAAGAGACTAAATTCTTCTTACATTTGAAAAACAAGAAAAAAAAATTCTAAAAGTTAAATATTAAGCACATTCAATGACTCCTTAATCCCTAAGGAGACCAGTGATGTAAATAAGGCAAACTCTGGATTTAAGGGCAGAGCTGAATTCCAATACCAGTTCTGACACTTACTGGGTAGGTGTGTTAACTTGAGCAGGTTAGCCTTCTCCAGTCTCTTTTTTCTCCTCTGGTAAGTGACGTAGGGAACTGTGCATGAAAGCTACCTCACTCTGTTAGAGCACTAGTCTTCAAAGTAGGATACCTCTAGACCATCTCAATCAATAGAGATGTAATGTGAGCCACAAATGCCAGCTACATATGTAATGCGAAATTTTCTAGTAGCCACATTTAAAAAGGAAAAAAATAGAATTAACTCGAGTAATATATTTTGATTCAACAAATGAAAAAAATGTAATCAGTAAAAAGTTATTACTGCATTTTCTGTATCTATTAAGATGATTGTGGTTTCTGTGGTTTATTCTATGAATATAATGTGTTAACACTGATTTTCAGATGTTAAACTACTCTTGCATTTCTGGGAAAAATCCCTCTTGGTCACGGTATGTAATCCTGTATATACGTGTTGCTGGATTTGGATTGCTAGTATTTTGCTGAGGATATTTACATCTATATTCATAGGGGATCTTGGTCTATAATTTTCCTTTCTTGTGATGCCTTTGACTGGTTTTGGTACCAGGTAGTACTGCTTTCATAGAACAAGTTAGGAAATGTTCTTTCCTCTTCTAATTTTTGTAAGCGGATGTGAAGGATTGGTGTTAATTCTTTAAATGTGTGGTAATATTCACCAGTGAAGCCATTTGGGCCTAGACTCTTTTTGTGGGAAGTTTTAAAATTGATAATTCAATCTCTTACTTGTTGTAAGTCTATTCAGATTTTTAATTTTTTCTTATTGCAGTTTCAGTTGTTTGTGACTTTTTGGAAATTTGTCCATTTCATCTAGGTTATCAAATCTGTTAACGTGCAGCTATTCATGTTATTCCCTTATAATCTTTTTATTTTTCACTGAGTTGGTGATGAGGTAGCCTCTTTTATTCCTGATTTTAATAATTTGATTTTAATAATTTTAATAATTTGAGCACTTTTTTTCTTTGGTCAGCCTAGCTAAAAGTTCGTCAATCTTATTGATTTTTTTTTCACAGAACTGACTTTCTGTCTTGTTGTTGTTCACTAGTATTTCTAGTCTCTATTTCATTTATTTGTGCTCAAATCTTTAGGATTCTCTACCTTCTGCTTGCTTTGGTTTTAGTTTATTCTTCTTTTGCTAGTTTCTTAAGGTAGAAGTTTAGGTTATTGACCAGAGATCTGTATTCCTTTTATAAAACTAAGCATTATAGCTATAAATTTCTCTCTGATTGCTGTTTTTGTTGCATCTCATAAGCTTCGGGTTATTATTTCATTTTCATTTAACTCAAATTATTTTGTAATTTGCCTTGTGACTTTTTTTTGACTCATTTGTTATTTAGAAGACTTTTAATTTAATTTTCACATATCTGTGAATTTCTCAAAATTCCTTCTGTTATTATGATTTTTTTCATTGTAGTCAAAGAACATACTTCATATGATTTAAAATGCTTTTAAATTTATTGAGGTTTGTTTTATGGCCTCTTAACATATACTCTATCCTTAACAGATGCTCTAACATATGCACTTGAGAAGAATACATATTCTGCTGTTGATTGGAGTGTTCTATAGATGTCTGTTACAATTATTTGGTTTATTGTGTTCAGGTTTTCTATTTTCTATTTTCTGCCTACTCGTTCTATCTATTATCAAAAGTGGGTTATTTCAGAAATTATTGTTGAATTGTCTATTTCTCACTTTAATTTGTATATTTTACTTTATGTTATTGGGGTCTCTGTTGTTAGGGGCTTTATAAGTGTTTCGTCTCCCTGATAGATTGACCTTTATTATTGTGTTCTTTGTTGTTTCTAGTAACAAATTTTGTCTTTAAGTCTATTTTGTCTGATACTAGTATAGCCAGTCCAGCTCTCTTTTAGATACTGTTTGTATGGCGTGTATTCTTCTACCCTTTTACTTGCAACTTACTTCGAATCTATTATGTCTCTTGTGGACAACTTATAGTTAGATCATGTTTGCTCCAATCACCCATTCTTAGTATTTTGACTGGCGAGACATTCTTATTAGAGGAATGATATCATCGTTTTTTCATAAACTGTACATTCATTGCTCTATTTAAAATTAGTTAATGAGAACTGTATGTTAATTTAATCTTCTTTTAAAATTTATATCAGATCTGTGTTATTTTAATCTTGGCTAATTTTTATAATCTTACAGGATTCGTTTTGTAACTTCTCCATATTTTTTGTAATATTTCTTGCAATAATTATTAACACATTTATTTGAATTGAAAAAATAAAGGCAGAACTTTTTCTAAAAGAAAGTGCAATTTGACTTATTGGTTTACGAATTAGATATATGATGGATATTTTCCCTAAATTGAGCTAAGTATGTAGATCCACAGTTTTGATTTCATACATATGTATAAAATCCAGGGAGAAAGTATATTAAAAATATGAGTTCAAAGAGAAACAGGAAAGGTCTAAAATTTCCAAATTTCCCAAATAGCTTTTTCATACATTTCGTAATAGCTAGTCATGGATATTAAATTGTTCAAATTTTATTAGATACATTTACTATGATATAGTAATTATATTTAAAATGACAATATTAAATGTATATTAAAAATTATATCTTTCCCAACAATTTAAACTTATGATAAAAAATTTTAGATGATTTAAAATGTATGAGACTTTTAAAACTGTTTGAATATGGAAGAAAATTTTTAAACGTTCCAAGCTTTTTTAGGTGATTCTTGAAGAAAAGTGTTTAAAGTCTAAGTCAGAGAACAAAGGCAACCCAAGTCCATCATCTCTAGTTGCCTTATTTACTGCTATATTCCCAGTGCCAATCCTATCTCTATGAATGAATGAATGAATGAATGAAAGGTAATATCGCAAATTATATACTTATTGCGTACAGAAAGGATGGCCCCGGAGGTAGCTTTTCCCCTATCTAGGTTAGCTCATTAGTTGATAGTAGAGAGAGTAGGGTCCTGAGGGAAATAGGAATAGCATACTTGTTGCGTAAAGAAAGGATGGCCCCAGAGGTAGCTTTCCCCTATCTAGGTTAGCTCATTAGTTGGTGGTAGAGAGAGTAGGGTCCTGAGGGAAATAGGAATAGGATACCCACACTCCTGACTCAAGAAGACAACCCTGAATGACTAGCTTTACCTGTGTCAGACCCCAGAAAACTGAGAGAAAGACTGAGACCTAGACTTAAGGGCACTCAACCAAGTATGAAGATTCATACATAGCCATTACCTTGAATTCGCCAGGCATTGTATGGGGCAGCTTCTTGTCTTGAGCATGTGACAATGAAAAAGACAAGATACATGAGGAATACACTTAAAGAAGTCTAAAGAAGCAAAATCTATGCTATAAGAGGAGTATATTTAGTTATTAGGTTGAACTATTTGAAATTACTGTTATTCAACCATTTTTGACTTACTAAAAACTATTGGTTCTTATGGTTCAACTTACATGGTGTGTGTAAATCCAGGTGAAAGAACAATAAATCCTCAGGAATTCATTAATCAAGGAAAATAATAAGCAGTCAGTGGCATTGAAGCTGGTCTTTGAAGGATGAAGAAGAAGATGAAGAAATGGATAGGTGGCAGATGAAACATTTGACAGAGCAGGATCAACAAGAGCAAAAGCAGAGAGAAGTAGGAGGCACACGTGCGTCCTGGAAAGGTGCAGTTTCTTTTGTGTTGGAGAAGAGCAGAAGGAATTCCTTCTTTCTACTCTTGTAGAAAGAGTACTGTAGGCCTGAGAAGATGCTCTTGAGTCAGCAATGGGAAGCCACTGAAGGTTTTCCTAGAGGGGCATCGTGACCAGATAAAAGCTTTAGAACTCAGGTGGTTGAATGGGGGAATAAGTGGTGGGTAAGGAGTTTGAAACTGGAGATGCTGAGATGCTTAAGAAGCTCCTGCAATAGTCAAGGTGAATGCAATGGATGTGTAGAGGGGCCAAGAAGTGGGGTATCATGTTTCTCTGACAGAATTGTCATGGTTTGGTCAATGGTTAGGTAGAGGGGTTGGTTGAAAGAGGTTTAGGTTCAGGAGTCGGGGAAGGGAGTAAGCTACATGGAGATATCCTGTAGTGGGAGCAGAATTCTGAGCTATGGGTCTTAGCTCTGTTGATTTATAGCTGAAGCCATCCATGAAAGTGCATGTGATTATCAGGGAAATCTACCTCGAGAGAACAGGGAAATGGAGTAAGGGCAAGAGGACAGAGCAGAGGATTAGGAATGAATCTGTGCCCTGTGTGTTACCACATTTTTACCTCCGTCATCACACTTGTTTATCTGAGACCTCCTAAGGTGGGAACTAGATCCTATTCATTCTTTGGCAACCTCACAGCACACGCGTAATCGAGGAGTAGCCACTTAAAACAATCCTTGCCAGAACGTATGCTTACTTTTATGAAATGTTTTCTAGGTTCTAGGCACTGATCTAAGTGTCACGAAGGTGCCCTTTTATTTTATATTTTACAAATGAGGAAGCGGAAGCATGGACTTGTTCAAGGTCCCAACCAGTGAATGGGAGCCTCGATTTAAGCTCAGGCAGTATAACACCGGAGGCCTCCAGCACCTAACTCTCACGCTATGGAATGAGTAAAGTCAGAGTGACATCTGTTTGGCTCTTTACAGTTCAGAATTGTCTCCACAGACAATTCTAATATCCTCAAAGTAATTTTGTGAGCTGGTGGGAGGGGTCAACATTATTACTCAATAAGTGAAAGCTAAAGTTAAATGAATTCATGAGGAAACACAGCTAGTAAGTGGCAAAACCAAGTAAAACCACCACCTTCTGAGTTATAACCCTTTGTTCTTTTTTAGTCTTGCTCCCTGTGAGTCCAGTTGTCTGCTTCATCGCTGAAGAAGATGGATGTGTCCACAGATGGCTGAGAAAGGAAGAGTCTGGAGAGACGGGCTGTGGAACAGTGAGAAAACTTTTTGACTAGCAGAACACATTTCCTTGAAGGACTTAGGAATTTTGTTCTGGTAAGACTCTAAGATGTCTATAGGTCAGACTTGTGAATGCTAACATAATCTCTTTTATTAATAATCATGAATGCTCAAAATTTAAGCACAACCCATCTGTAAAAAATGATTGGTTTGTTGATTTTGAATATAAATGAAAGATAATCTGGTGACTTGTCATTTATTCATCTTTGTTGGTACCATAACCTGGAATCCATCTTCAGGCATGATGTCATAGATTCCTCTACAGCGTAAAGGCCCCAGGCTCTTCAGAACCCTCTAGTTCATTCACTAGGGAGAGTAACACTTGCCCTCTTAATAGGAGAAGGCAAAAGAGAATGACAGACACTGAATTTCTATGGTTACTTGTTTAACCTAGTCCCCTGTTACACAGAGACTCTTCTTTGATGGCTGTTCCCCTTAGATAGGGCAAACTCACAAAAGAGGTCAAAGGAACTGAAAATGAGATTGATAATAAGCTTTATACTCGTCTTTGGCTTATTCCAGTTAAGAAAAGAAATGTTCCCGAATATCTGACAGATAGTAACTTGTCTGAATTTTATGAATAGGCAAGGTTGTCCTGGAGTTTCTCTGCCATTATACAGGATGGGTCATCTTGCCAAGTTTCATCATTGCCAATAGACTCTGAAGCAACAAATGTCACAGAGAATTCATAGATGGGTATCTCCTGTTTTGTAAGTTAAGTATAGACGTGTTTATTTATAAGAAGGTGAAACTATATCCTCCACGTGGCCAATACATTTAGTCCCTTAACTTCTAAAATAATTCTAAAATGAGCAATGTTATTGGTAATCAAAACAGAGGCACCTATATTCTTCCTCTTTAAGGACAGATAGAATAAAGGAAGGGAATTCAGTAGTTCTTGTCTATGATATTAACTAACACATAATATTAACAATTTATAATATTGAATATTAACACTTATTTAGTACTCTCTATGTGCCAGGCACTATTCTAAACATTTAATCTACTTTGTAACTCTGTGATGAGTTCTCTGGTTGTCCTCAGACCACAGGTGAGAGGACCGAGTTCCCAGGAGTGTGTGGCAGCTCGCCTAACACCACGGAGCTAGTGGTAGAGCCAGCATCCCAGAGCCTGCCTGCCCCTAGTCTCCTGGGCTCAGATTACTGTGTGTCTTACCACTTTGTCTCCACTAAACTGATTTCCAAGGAGTGCTGGGAGTTGAAAAAATCCTTCAAAGGTGGGAGTAAATTTGGAAGAATGGAAAGCTAGAGAAATTGCAGTGTTTTTAGAAATGACCTCTCTTGTGTAGCTTTAAGAAGTCTTCTTCCGTTGTATCCGAGCACCGAGTCTCACTGAAATCCGGAGACGGGTCTCTCTCTGCAGAAGAGGCATGACGGTGTCTGAGGTCTATGAGAAGCTGACGTTTCTGTCTTAGGATGGTTTTCCCGTTGATCTTTCTGTAGCCAGGGGCCACAGATGGCCACCGATGTGTTCATGCCCACTGATGGCGCCCCTCCTCTCTGTCACACATCGCACGAATGGATGCCGTTCCTTTTTTCTTCACTCCCTCCCTTTCTTTCATTCTCTAAGTCAATGAAATTAAACTAGCCAGGCTCTGTGCCAGGTGCTCACGATTAAATAAATACGTATGTAAATAAATCACACAAGGGTTCCTGGCCGTTAAGAAAACTCAAACATAGTTTTGAAAGTGGCCATCTGTTCGTGGGATAAACAGATGTAAAAGAGGGAATGGTTACTTCAACCTGAAGCATTGGGAAAAGCTTCATAGAAGAGGTCAGTACTGGAACTGAGTCTTAAAAGATGTGTAGGTTGGGGGTTGGCTAGTCAGAGCAAAATGTAAAGAGCTTTCAAGAAAGAGGCATCAGCAAGAACAGCAAAGGCTTGGAGGAGGAAATGGTAGAACAGATTGGGGTAAGTAGAGAGGAGGTTGCTTGGATGGGGGAAGTTAGTGAGGAGAGGCCATTAGAACAAGGCTAAAGAAGCAGGCATGGGCCAGATCCGGTCCGACAAGGAGAGGACTCATCCCTGAACTCCACCTCCGGGACCGTCATCTGTAGATGGTGATCATGTTTTAAAATTCTCACGCGATATCTGAGCTTCAGGGCTCCGGGGAGACGGGATACTTTCTCATGTTCCCGGGTATCTTATGCAGGTCCCGGTAGGATTAATACATTGTTTTCCGTGATGAGAAATAGCTAATATGAACTGAGGAGCAGTTTGATCTTTGATAAAAGGTCTAAAGAATTTTTTTAACAATCACTTCAGAATTTTGTACGGTACCTATTTTTCAGTTCTAATTTAATGCAAACGTCTGTTACTTAGATTCAGTGCTAACGACTAGCATTATTTCATTCCAAATATGTCCATCTAAATATTTTTTCAAACAAATATATAGTGCTTACTATACACCAGGCATTGTTCTAAGAATTTGACAAATGTTAAATCATGCAATGCCCTGACAACATAATGAGAAATACGCACCATCATTATCCGTATTTTACAAGATAAGAAACAATAGTTGAGCAACTTGACTGAAGTTACAAAGCTAGTTAAATGGTGGGGCTGGGAATTGAGTGCAGGCATTTTATTCCAGAGATGCTAGACCAACTCTTTGTTTCTAATTATAATTTATCTACCCTTCCAATTTACTTCTTTTTCCTCAAACTAAATTACTAAACTGATTTCGAAAAAATTTTGACCACTTATTTAATTGGCATCACACTATATTGTACAAATATAATCCCACATAGTCTATATGATAATTTTTTACAGGTCAGTATTTCTCAACCCTGGCTACACATTAGAATCACCTAGGGAGTTTTTAAAAATGTTTTTGTTTGCCCAAGCCCTACATCCAGATATTCTGCTTTAATTGGTTTAGGTAAAGCCTAGACATAAGTATTTAAAAAACTCCCCAGATGATTGTAATATTCATCCAGGATTGAGAACTACTGATATAGATCGATCATTTATTGATTACTTAAGGTACTGTGCTACAAATTTTACACACGTTGTTGTCATTTCTCATGAAAGCCTGATTAGATAGGTATTATAATTACCTATGTTCTACAGATGAGAAAATTGAATAACCAAGAAACTACATAATTTTCCCAAGATTACACAGCTAGCAATAACAGAGACAGGATATGTAAGGTAAAATCACAACTTCTTTGCCATAACCACTGCGCATCCCACAGCGTAAAAAATAATCAATCTATTGTGTCATAAATGAATCAGCATCCTAGAATGTATTTATTGTATACGTAGGTGCTAAGAATCTGACAATCTGAATAATTTAACTACCTATCCATTCGGTTTTTTAAAAATACTTTTTAAAACAACTTATGCATATACTTTTTCTGCCACATACATATATTTTTATATCACATATTGTTATATATGCCATGCATTTATTAGACTTTTTGTTTTTTTTGTATTTCTACTTAAGAATATGTAAAACATTCTAAATAAGTTTGCAAATACGTTAATAGCTTATTAAGAAAACTAGATGTTTTCTATTACTATTGAGAGGAAAATTATAGAAAACCAGTTTACCTCCAGTAGAAAAGATTTGGGCTACACTGTGTGAAGATGGTCGTAACAACAAGCAGCATCCTATAGCTACTAATTTTTGAACACATCTTTGCTACATGCCAAGTGAAGTTTCTGCAACTTTCCATACATTAATTTAAGTAATATACTTAACACATTAATTCATTCACCCCATCTCTATATTAAAAACTTCTGCACTTACATATCTAGCTCAGAACTCCTTTCTGAAGTATGAAATTATTTATTCAACTGCCTACTTGATGGCTCCACTTGAATGTTTTCGTTAGCTCAAATATAAAATGTCCAAAATGAAATTTTCAATTTGTTTCCCACTTTTTAAATTTCCTTCAGTCGCCCCTACCCTAGTAAATGGCTCCATCATCTATACTATGCTTCAGGCCAGAAACCTAAGACTCATCCTTGATTCTTGTTGCTCTCTTGCAAAATGATCTTGTTGGTTTCATCTCCAAAGAGTGTCTCAAATCCATTCACTTCTCTACACTGCCACCACTATAGTCCCATTCATCAAACCATCTTGAAAGGACCATTATGATAGCCTCCTAACTGGTCTCCTTGCTTCCTCTCCTGCTCTCTTACAATCCATTTTCTACCCTGCGCCCCGCAGCCAGTGTTGCATTCAGGTTCATCATTCACTTGCTTAAAATCCTTCAATGACTTTCTTGCGTTGACCTACAAGGTCCTGCATGATTAACTTTTCCCACCCTCCCCCTCACTCGCTATGTACAACGCAGTGGTCTTTCAGTTCTTCAACCACTCCAACATGTTTACTCAGCCCAGCACCCTCTTCTCCCAATTGTATGGCTGGCTACTCACATTTCAAGTCTCACCTAAAATGTTATTTTCTTGTAGAGACCTTCATGGACCATCCACTCCAAAGTACCTTCCTTCTCAGACCAACCTTTATTTTTCTAACAGCACTTATCGCCCACCTATAAAATTTAACTTAGTCACTTCTTTTATTGTTTATTTATTTTATCGAATGCAAGATCCAAGATAGATGCATATCTGCCTTGTTTTGACTTATCCTCAGCTGGTTCCTTAGCATATGGCATAGAATATGCTCACAAAATAATATATTTTAGTTCTATGTTAAATAAATATAAATGTTATGAATCTTTGATGTGTAATAAAAAGCATAGTGATCTATTCCTGAGATTTTTAAGAGAAAATGCTAGACTAGTAATTCTTTTATTTCTTTTTTTCTTTGTTTTTAGGCAAGGCACCCCTTGGTTGACCTCACAGATTGCAAGGACCTTGTCAGCTTACAATCCCTGACTTTTTATTTTTTATGCCTACAGCACCCGGTCTTCCTAGGTGGTCTCCCATCCAAGTACTAACCAGGCCTGACCCTGCTTAGCTTCTGAGATCAGATGGGATCGGGCTTATTCAGGTAGCATGACTGTAGACTAGACTAATAATTCTTAAACTGTATTTTATGTAGTGATAGATTAAGAAAAAAAAGGAGAACAAAAATTGTATTGCCAAAATTTTACTGTTACCGCTGAGTAAGTCTATATACAAACAATATGTCCACCATCATTTTACCAGACAGAATGGTAGAGAGCTAAAGGCCTCCTAGATCAAAGACACTATAAAGACATAGAAGTGGAAATAATATGGTGGCTTTGAGCAAAATCAGTAAGATTATTGGAAGCGATCGCGAATTTGAAGAATTTGATAGGTTTAGATGACGGAGAGTTTTATATACGATGCAAAAGCATTTGGACTTTATCCTATAAGGAGTGGGGAACTCTGGTATAAAATAGCTTTAAGTAGGAAAATTATATGATTCAATTTACATTGAAAAATTATTATTTTGGGGTCAGTGTAGCATATGGCTTGGAGGGAGATGAGACACAAATCAGGGAATCCAGTTAGAAGATCTTTGTTAACAACCTATGAGCAAGACGGCCGCTCAGGCTTACAGTGGGGCAGCGACATTGAGGGCGAAGGGGGAGGAACAGGTCTTTGCCATTAGCTCGTCTCCGAATGGTTTCTGAGATGCTCCAGCAAAGTCTTTTTTCCAGTTTTGGTTTGTATCATCTATGCGCTTTCGAATGAATTTTCGTATTATTTATCTGTTGGCCTCATAGCTACCTTTTTTTTTTTGATGAATATATATTTTTAAAAAACAGTAAACTATAGAGCCTTCGTTGCAGGGATTAAAATAATAAATGGATGTGAAAGCATTTTGCAAAGTACTACACAAATGGAAACTATTTTTATTACCAGTAAGTCAATTTCGTTTGCAAAGAGAAAAATCACTTTCCCACATGTAAACTCCCATAAGCAAACTCCCCAGGCAGAATGAATCACTCTTAAAACCATAGCACTTTTTGGAACTTCTATCATAACACCTCCATTAATTATAGATTGTTTATGTGTTGGTGTTTCCTTGTAGCATATAAATTCTTTAGAGACAGAGAGAGGGAGTCTTATGAATCTTTGCAGTCTGGTTTGTGGTAGACAGTAAGTGCTCAGTAAATGTTAATTGCATGCATGAATGAATGATTAGTTCCCAGGAAAGGCTAAAGGCAGTAGGGAGCTGATAAGGACTTCAAAGTTAAAATAAATATAAAGGTAAACATATTAAAGTGAAAAGATTCAGAGTGGTTGATGACTATATACTTTATTTTAGTCTAGAAGATATACATAGATTTATTGTACTACCAAAATACTTGATCTTAGTAAAGTTAAATATTTTGTAACACTGAAAATTAAACTTCCTTTTGCACTGTTGTATTCATTTATCCATTCATTTAGCAAATCTCTTTGCAATAGGGGATAAGTACAGAGCACTGTGCTCTGGATTTTAAATAAATACGACCCTGCCCTCATGAAGTTTTCTATCCAGTGGGGGCTGGGGAGTAGGGGAAGCCTGCTCCATGCCAAATAGTGTCCTAAAAATTTTCCATATTTTATAATAATTATAATTTACTATTTCTTACATACATAGCAACCTTGTAAGTAGGCAGTCTTAGGCCCATTTTGCAAATAAGAAACCTTAGCTAAGAGAATTTTGTAATTTAGTTGACATCACAGAACTAGGAAGGGACAGAGATAGATTGGTTGATTACAAGGAAGCACATCAAGGGTTATTTTTTATTTCAGAACCTAGATTTCCTTGCAGTCATTCGAGTTAAGTCTGTAAATACTAATGGAATATCAACAAAGACAGATGTAAAAAATGACAATGAAATGCAAATTTCATTGGAGTTTTTTGGTTTGGTGGAAAGATTTAGAAAAATAACCATAATCGTAAGGTGAGATTTTAACCAAAGATTGACAGATCTTTTGAAGTGAAATGTCCCTCGGGAGCTGAGCAGCATCTAGGTATGGTGTGAAAAGTGTCCTAGGCTTGGGGTCAGAAGACCACTATTTAAGACCTTGCTCCAGTTTCCTGGTTTGGGACTTTGGGAAAGACACTTAAATTTCTGGGCCTCGCTGCCCTCATTTGTTAAATATGGACAATAACATGTGATGTTTCCCCCTTATTTTAAGAATTAATGGGTTGAGATAAGAGAAAGCAGTTTTTTAAAATGCAATATAGATTTATGATAAAGAAAGCCAATTTCTTAGAAATATCTTTCTGGTATAAGAGCTATCAAATAAGAGAAAGCATAGAGAAGTGATTTATAAATTCTTATCCCTACTATGTAATGTGGTGCCTGTCACATAGTAGGTGTTTGGTAAATATTTATAGAGCTTAATTCTTGAATGGCTGAAAGAGACCAGAGGAAACCAAGTCCTCCCTCCTCCAGCTAGCAGGGAAGACATATTGTACCCAACTTCTCGTGACTTTTCAACACGTGAAGCTGTTGTCAATAAATATATTATAATTCAAAGTGCCATTTAAATTTGGTATTTCTGTTTGTTCATTTGGTTCTTTGTTCGACATTTTTGTTAGAGATATATGCATGTGACTGTGTTATGTATGACTGTGTATATGTATCTAAAAGGACATATTTGGGGGCCATGATGAGCTGTCCTCATATCTGTTAGGTTCTGTTAAGTATCTGTTTCTCCTGTTTACTGGTGAGTGTTCATAGTATGCAGCACTATTGGGGTGGAGATCAGTACCATATATTCTCCATGGATGCTTGTATTTCAACAGGTATGATAGACATAAGCTAAGGAGATAAAGTTTGAGCCTGGTAATACCATGAACTAGGCAGAGAGAGGATTTATTTGAGGAAAGCTAGCTTAGTTAGCACCATCAAACCATACACCCATAGGCGGTCATCTATCTGCCTACCAAGGTAGCCTTTATCTTGGATCACTGGCTAGACAGGTACATGCCTTTGCTATGGATATGACAAATAAATACCACCTGCCAATCTTAATCTGGTATATAATTACAATATTAATATTGGTAAAGTATAAGAAGTCTTTTTTCTAGCTTTAATATTTTATTTAATGTCACACAAAATTGTTTTCATAATAAAATGGTATTAAAAATGAATGTTCAGAACTCTTGCTTCCACAAAGATGGAATAGGTGATATCTCCCTATTCTTCTCGCTAAGTACAAATTATAACTATGGACATTACATATAAAACAAACAGAGCATCCGAAAGGTGGAGAGAAGAAGGCAGACTATCTCGGGACCTTGCAACCAGAGGCACAATAATGTATTGAGGTTCTTGGGTGTTCTTGTGGCTTATATGTTCCCAGATGGAAGCTGGAGAAAGCAGAGCACTGTAAATGTCAACAGGTATGAACAAAAAAGGCCCCCAAAAAGCTTTTGGTCAGTAACCAAAGGACCAAGAAAAGTGCAGACGTGCATCACGGAAAACTCTGAGGCAATAATGGCTCTACTCCAGCCAAACACCACAGGAAAAAAAATGTGTTCCCCTACCCATGTCAGCAAAGACAAGTGGGTAGTCTGGAGTACACTCTCGCTGGGATGTAACGGGAGTGGTGTCACAGAAGGCTGAGCAGAGAGCCAGGACTTTCA